GCAGTTTTATTTCCTTCCATTCTCTACTTTCAAACATTCCCTACTTTCCAGCTTGGCAAGAGCTATGAAGATAGCAGCCCACAGTCCTGGTGTAGCTTGGCAGTGCAAGAGGAAAAAATACAGATACTGTACATATAAGCAAAAACAAACAAACAAAGAAACAAACTATGCTTGTGTGTTTTGACTGTCTAGCAGCTACCTGAGGGACTGGCTCACATTTACCTTAATTCTACTTGTCTAGTCTCAGAGTTTTCTCAGGACCAAATGGCTTGCCAGGCAGCATTTGTCAAAATCATTTAAAAGTGAATGGATTAGCTGGCTCCACTAGGAGAAAGATTAACAGATGGGGCATGTAGTAGACAGACTGTAAAGCAAGGGAAGGATGAGAGAAGAGGCTACCCAGGGAAGGACTTCAAAAGCTCCTAAGTACATGATCCATGAGGGTCTAGAAAAGACAGGAGAAGACCTTAGGCTTCTAACTCTGACCAATTTTTAGACCCTGGGCAAGAAGGAAGTTGAGGCTAAGGTAGAGTTGTAAATTCCACAGCTAAGCCTTGAAGAAGTGATCTACTCCAAGCCACTCTGCAAAAACTGGGAGAATGATTTTGTTTGTAAGTAAATGACTATCAAATCATGGGCTGACCATTTTCAGTCTCTGGAACAGTGACTTCAGTGTGGCACACAGAGGTCAATACAATTTTTAAAGAAAGGATTTAGAAAACTCAAACATAATAAGCAACAATAAATTCTGGGGTGGAAGAGAAGATCTCATTTCCAGAGTTATCATATTACAATAGTCAAGATAGCCAATTTTCAACAATGGAAAAATTAATGGACATGCAAAGAAATAAGAAAAAAATTAATGAAAATTGTCCTTGAGAAAGTCCAGACTTCAGAATGGTAGACTTTTAGTCAACTGTGCCCGTGGACGACTTTCCCCTGTCTCTGTCTCTCCCACCTTGCTTTGTATCAATGCATTCCCATTTGTCTCAGTGGCCATGTCGGTGTTCTTCACGTGATAAGGAGTTGCTCCTACCTGTGTCCTTCAAACATGGTGTGCTCCTTCCAGAATACTCTTCTCTTGCTTCTCTCATAGCTCACTCTGCATATTCCAATGTGTCTCCTCTTGCCTCCTCAGAGTACCTTTCCTGGTTGTCTCATCTAAAATAGCCATGTCTACTCCAGCATCTACAGTTTCTGTTTCCATCCATTGCTTGCTTTATCATACTCTCAAATTTCTCTGACTAGTCTGGATGAAAATTTTTCTAGAAAGTATTTTTAAAATTTTTATTTTTCTCAGTACATCTTTGTGGTATACTATGACTGCATTCACTGTGAGGAGCTGGCACATGTACATGATACACTGTAATTCTTCCTACGTCCTCTTCCTGTCCTCACCCCTTCCCTTCTCCATCTCTTGGTCATCTTCTCATTTACAAAAGTTCTAGCTCTGTTTCCTATTAGCTATCTTATTTTGTTTTTTAATTTCTTTATAGTTTGCATTTCTTTTATAACAGAAACCATGTGATATTTAAGCTTATGTTCTGATTTATTTCACTTAACATTGTGTTTCAAGGTACATCCATTTTCCTTCAAATGACTCAAGTTTATCCTTCTTTATAGCGAAAGTCCAGAACCTACTGTATGCATTTTTTACTTTCTCAATAATCTACTTTCTTTTCCTCTGGAAGATACTATAATAAACTCAGTAAAATTTTTTAAAGCATTAGGATAAGGTGATAAAAACATTGCTCCCAAAGCCAGAAAATTTAGATTCAAAACTTGACTTTTCTACTCATCAGCTTGGTAGGTTAACATTCTGTACTTCAGTTTCTTTACCTACAAGTAGGGATAATATTAGTATTTGCCCATAGGAGTATTGTAAGGACTAAATGAGTTAATACATACAAAGTGTTTAACCACTGTCTTGTGTATACTACTGCTTAAAAAATGTTAGCTGCTATTATGATTACTATTACAAGTATTAGCATGGATATATATGCACACACACATACACACATACATCTTGAGCTCACTATGAAGATCTTACTTTTTTTTGAGACAAGATCTCACTATATAGTGCAGGCTGGCCTTGAACTTAGGGCAACCCTCTTGCATCAGCCTCCCAAATGCTGGTATTATAGGCAGGTACCATTATACCCAGCAAAAATCTTAAACTACATGTTGTTGACATGCTACAGTCAACAACATAGTGGTACCTGTTTAAAGGTCATGTGGTTATTGGCTTTTACATAAAATTGTCCCTGCCTGATTTGCTGGTGTGCTCTTACATACTGATTTATAGCTTTTATGGTTTCCTATGTGAGCTCTCAAACTTTACTTCTCACCATTGCTGGTCATATTTCATATCTGTATTAGCCTCTTTCCACTCTTCTATTTTTCTCAGGGGGGATAAACCAAGTTTGTTGAAGATATATTTTAAATAATAGCTACTATTTTCCTATTTTCAAAATTAAGTTGAAAAACTCCCCTCTGAATAGAGAAAAGAAACTTGAATTCATGGACATCTCTTTTGGCTGTTCAGAGATATTTTTTTTTTACCTTTCATTTCTTAGATAAATGTAAAAAGTTATCAGAACTGTCAGAGATGGTAGATGTAATAATAATTTTGTATGTATACACAGATATTAAAGTTAATAAACCTAGGAAATGAGTTCAAATAAATATTCATTACACTTCTACTACATGCTAGATACATACTGAGGGAACAAAAATATAATCCTGGACTTCTTGAAGTTTGCAATATCAAGGAAGAGATTAAATATCAACAGATAATAGTAAGAGATAACACAGACTTTCGACCAGGCACTCTGTGGCCTAAAGGAAAGACCCTTACCCTAATGGCCGGTGGGCACTGGGAAAACTCCTGGGGAAGAGTAGGTTTAGTCTGAGCCTTGATGACAGCCAGGCAAAGAAGATTTCATGGGTTAGTCTAAGGGTGGAAAATGGAGAGACCATGGGGTAGGAAGAGCAGAATGCATGGCTGTCTGTAAAAAGAATAAATAGTTTGATACTGTTATGATAAGAAAAGAGAGAGATAGGAAACGGAGAAAAATTTTAGAAGACAGAAAGTAGACTGAACAGAAATCACATCTGAAAGATCCTCACATGTACATTATGTGGAGAAGCCTGGATGTTATTTAAAATATAGGAGCCATGAAAAGATTAAAGCATCACACATCAGCAATATATGCATACTCATATTGATAGCAGCACAAGTTTTTGTAGCTAACTCTTGGAAACAGCTCAGATGTCCATCAACAGATGAATGGGTAAAGAAAATAATATATAGTAGAGTACTGCTCTGCTATTAAGAAGGGTAAATTAGAGACATTTTTAGCCAAATGGATGTACCTTGAGACCATACTTTTAAGAGAAATAAATTGGACGTGTATGTTTAAGTATCACCATGTTTCTTGTGTGAGAAATAAAAGTGTAAATAAAGACTAAAATGGGCAACAGATACTGTGGATATTGGAAGAAAATGTTCAAATGCAAATGAGGGTGGGGGAGCAAGGAGGAAGGGAAAAGGAAAAAAAGAAAATAGAGAGGAAAATGAGGGAAAATAAAAAAATCAAGATATATTATGTACAGATACAAATCGCTTACAATGAATCTGATCATTATATATATCAAAGGTGTAGTAATACAATTAAAATTAAAAAATAAAATACAGGAGCCATTCAGAAGTGTTTGAGAAAAATGGCAATGTACATTTTTAAGTTTAAATGCATAACTCAGTGGAAGACAGAGTAAAACTAGAAAAAATGCAAGAGAGACCAGTTAGGCAGTTGCTGTGATAAACTAGAGTTAGGAGAGTTTAAAAGAAAGCCAGGCAACAGTGAGGGCCCCAGTTGTATCTGGAAGATACAACTGGGATACTTAGCAGATGAGGGGCTCAAGGGTGACTTCAGGATTTCTAGCCTTTAGGAACACTGTGTATTTTGAGTGCAGGGTGTCAGTGAGAGAGGTGCACAGGAGGATAAAGTGGTGAGTCTAGGCTGAGACACATTAAGTTCCAGGAGAAGTCAGAACTGGAGGTAGCACTTCAGGGTAGCACACTGATTCATGGACGCACCTAGGGAACGCTGGAAAGAGAAGAGCCCGCTCAAAGCAGAGGGCAGCTCTTGATGCTCTGAAAGAAACTGGGATTACAGGGCCAGGACGGCACCGTGAATTTCAGCTGTGAGTTTCGGACGCCGTGACTGACAGCGTTGAGCAAACTCATCAGCTGCGTGTCCTGAGCGTTCACTGCGTGGCGGCACTGTGGGGCCTCATGCACGGCATCTCACTTAACCCACGGTCCACAGCTAAACTGATGAATCTGGCATTCAGGGAGATCCTGTCACCTACCCGAGGCCATGGGCTGAGCTGAAAGCCTGAGATCGGACCCCAGGTCTGCCGGGCTGCAAAGCCCATGCTGTTAACTCCCTTGGAGAAAAGAATTCCTCAGCGCGCCGCTTAATATTATCATGATAAGCACAGCTATGTACTGCTTTCCAAGAAGTGTATCCTAAAGCTAATGACGTAAAAGGCATACTTAATCCATAAATATTAACAATGAGGTCATATGATCTCTTCATAACAGCAAATTGACTACGTCAGCAATGCTTCTTCATAATCTTTGCATTCATAAACACCACACTGGCCGACTTGGGGAGACCACACCGCACTGACTGGAACACGGGTCCAGCAACGCCCAAGGAAAGCCCAAGTCAGACCTACTGGTCAGCGCTCTTCGGAGCAAAGCTAAGTACCCTGGCCTAGACCCTTAGGGCTGCTCAGCTTTCTCGAAAATGTACTAAAGAGAAGCAGAGAAGGTATGTACGGGTAGCACAAACCTACCAGAAGGGTGGAAAATTTTTATTTTAGATGATAATTTAGTGTCCATTTAAGAAGTGAATCAGAAAATCTATTTCTATTATAAAAGTTGTAATTTTCCAATATCCCACTAGAGGAAGCAATAGCATTACTCTCACCGTTTGGTGGATAAAACACTGCATATTCTTCTAATCCTAGTTTTCCTGAAAGAGAAGATAACAGAGGATTTCAATATGATTCTGTAAAATAAAATATTAAAAATTATACTAAAAATGGAATTTTAAGAACTACAATGCTTCAATTTTACTTCATTTCATGACATGGAGCTAATTTGAAAAACTGCCAGCCAATTTTCTGATATTAGCAATCCTTTCATGAATTAAAATCAACAACATATCCCAAAATATAAGGAAAGAGATATAAAATAAATAAAAAGCAACACATTTAAACTCATTAAGAACTTAGGAGGAACCTACTTAAAAGCACAGAACTGTTTTGCTAAATATAAATTATCCTAATCTATTCATCAAAACAAGCCCTATGTGTTGCAATAATCTTATTAGGTTACATTTTAATGGTATGTGCTTAAAAGTTTAAAATTAAGTTTCTTTAACTGTATGATGATCATATTTTCTGAATTCTAAATAGTTCATATGATCACAGAATGGAGGTAAATATTTGAAATCAGAATTGTCCTAGAAATGTAAAGACTACACTACAATTAGATATTTAGCTGACTTGAAATAGTAGCTTTCCCTCAAATTTTCAGGGTTCTCAGATTTTTCCATCTTCCACAGAATATCTTTAGGTAGCTTTTATCTTGACAGTTTTTTTTAACACTTTTTAGCCTAAAAAAGACCATTCATTCTTGCACAGGGTTTTAAAGTAAAATTTTTAAATTAAAAAAAGTATTTTTGTTTTTGTTTTGTTTTTTGATTAAGGGTAGTGGCAGAGGGGACAGGAAGAATACGAAGTGTGAGCTGTTTAGGTCAGGATGAAAATGATGAGGACCAACCTGTGTAAGGAGAGATGGAATAATAAAAGACAGACAGACACATGCACTGATGCTCATCTAGATGTAGATACATGAACAAAATGAATGTAGTGAATACTCCCTCCACTACGTGGTTTATGATCTAGAATAAACTATGAAACTAGAGTTTAGTAATTTTTTTCCTTTTAATGAGTCTTAACAGTGAGATACAGGATAGTTTTTCAGGATCTAAATATTTTTACAGTGGAGGAAATAGGAAACCTTTCACAGAAGGGACTATATGGAGCTAAAATGAATATGGCATATTGTGGAATAACCAGGGAATTAGTTAGCTAAGTTAAGACTGTTGACTGACACAGGACCTTAAACTGGATGCCTTTACAGTTGAGCCCAAATAGGTAACTACATCCATACACAGTTTTTCAGGAAATTTCTTTAAAATTCATTTTAGAAGCAATGGAACTAAAAGCCCTAAATTGGGTGGAGCCTGATTCCAACACAAGGTGGCATGGCTGCCCTAGGGCAGGATTTGGAACAATCACCATCAGGCAGATATCCCAGACTCAAGAAATACAGAAGAGCAGGCTGGGGATTTAGCTCAGTTGCACAAGGGCCTGCTTGTCAAGTGTGAGTTTGATCCTCGGTATCCCGCCCCCAGAAAAAACCCTCAGAAGAAATAATTCCTTTTTTCATGGAAATAACAAAAGGAACACACATAGTGATAAAGAACATTTGCTTTTTCCAATGGTAACAAACAGTGACATACATGCCACAGGTTTGTCACCACTGAATATAGTAATGAGCTTTCAGTGCTAACTTCCACAATTTCATAGAAGGAAATTGAGAGGGCTGTCAGCTGAAGTCAGTTCCATAGCAAGAGAAGAAGGCACTAAAACAGAAATTAGAGAGCTAACAGCATGTAAATTATATACAATTTTAAGTGTGGCGGAACATTTTGAGAAAAGAAATGCAAGAAGTTTAAGACATTAAAAAACCAAATCTAGGACCGGGGATTTAGCTCAGCAGCACAAGCACCTGTATAGCAAGCACAAGGTCATGCGTTCAATCCCTGTTACCAAAAAACAAAAACAAAACAAAACAAAAAACTCATGTGATACATTCATACTTAGAAAGTAAAAGTCAAGAGGAAAAAAAAAAAACCAACAATAGAGACAGCAAACAGAGAAGGCAGAGAGGTACATGAATTCTGTTTCTTGGAAGCATTTAACTGACTTGTGATAAACTGCTTGCGCACTGATTTAAGTGATGGGAAAAGGATGTTCATCGGAGAGGAATCTTAATTTATAATTAAAAAAATAGGTAACATGAGTACATGCTATAAAATAAATGTTCTTGGATTTGGTATTATCTCAAATAATCCCTTCTTAGAATTAGTAAAATATTACCTCTTATGTATGATTTCGGTGGTGAAGCACTGTTGTATGCAAAGTGGCCCAATACAGACGTATCCCGGGAAAAACAAAGTAATACCTAGACATGATATGAGGAAAACAAGCAATTAAAGACTGTTACAAAACTAGATAATGGGGCCGGTGATAGAGCTCAGCAGCACAGCGCCTGCCTGGCCAGTGCAAGGCCCTGATTCCTGGTACCAAAAAGAAAAGAGAAAACGTGTTGCCATTTCCTGCTTGGGAAGTCCTGAGGCAGTGGAGGGCCTAGGTCAGCACTGGCCGTGCAGTGGCAGAGTGAGCTTTCTGGTGTGGCCGAATTAACTGGTAACAGTGGGGTGCCAAATACAGATGGCCAACTTCTCCCAAAGACTTCTCATTGTTGGCCACCTAAACTTGGAACAAGAGAAAGTGCAAGTTGCTAAGTATCAGTCGACTCTTTTCTATGTTTTACCTGGAACTGAGAAACAGCTAGGTCACCGTGGCGGCAAACCTATGCATGCATGCCACAGTGTTTGTTTGCATCCCTGAAAGTTCTAAAAGGTTCAGCATGCTAACCTAGAAGTTTAACTGGTGAGAAATGTATAGGATAGACTCTAGGTAGAGTGGCACAGAACAATTTAGGAATAAAGTGGAACTGAACTCATTGCTGGGGTGCAGCAGGCAGTTGGACATGTCAGCGGTAGAGGGAAGGTGACATGGTATTTGGAAGGCATGACAGCAGCTTTAGAACAAGTGGTTGCCCAATACACCATAGAAGTCAGTTATCCTGATCTGCAGATAGAGTGACAACTCTACCTGGAGATGAAAATAGATGGGAGAGTACAGGATCAAGGATGCCCAGTACGGGAAAGTGGACTGCAGAGACTACCATGGAATTTGCAAGGAGGTGTCCAATCCCCAGGAAAATGAATAATGACAAGAAATCTGGGTCCTGGTATGAGAAGACTTGGTATTCTAGAAATGCTAACATGAAAATCATTCATGACTGGAAAATGCAAAACATGGACACAGAGTTAGGGTTGGGGTTGCAGCAAGAATGAATGGAGAACAGAATGATTTTATGTCTAAGACACAAGAAAGAGGGGTTCAGTTTCTTTAGAGAATAAATGTAGGGATTGAGCATTAGGCTCAGTGGTAGAATGTATGTGCCAATAACCCCATCACACCACTGATTGGTTTTTATTATGTTTTAAAAGAATATATATGTGATACTTTATGATAAAAAATTAGAAATGTAAATGATAAAAAAGGGAGAAAAATCAAGAATCATACCAGCATTAATATGAAGATGTATATTATCTCAGACTTCTTTTATATACACATACAAAATTTTCAAACAAAAGGGCTATAGTTCTATAATTTATTTTCCCTCAATATTATAAAAATACTCTTCAGGTACACTTTGAAGTATATTGTGCTATATGGATGAATAATTATATAAGCCGTCTCATTGTTGATTATTTAATTATTTCTTCTTTATCCCAATTAAAAGCAATGCTGTGATGAACTTCCTTATGTACAACTTTGGTTACTGTATTCATATTCCTAAAACCGCACCATTGGTCTGGTCAAATGCTACAGACTTTTATTTTATTTTTTTGAGATAGGCTTTGGCTATACAGTTCAGGCTAGCCTTAAACTCACTTTGTAGGGGATAGTAATGTTAGAAGCTCTAGGCTTAAATATATCCACCTACAGTCACTGTGGCCCTAGAGAACACAAGATATCTGAGACTGTTCTAAAGAGAATACCGGTGACTGTAAGGTGATAATGCCAGAGTTGGTGTGTTAGTGTGTACTGGTGTGTAGCCCTGGTATACAAGGAAAGAGCTGCCAACTCCTATTCTAACAAGCAGTTTTAACTTTTCAGATTCTAATTTTTGCATCTTTAAGGAAATACTAATTCTATTGTAAATTTGCTAGAGTATGTGACTATATAAAGATGACATTTTGATCAAATTAAATAGAGAATTTATGATTACATAAAGGTTAAGTAGAAATTAAGTTTTATAGGGGTAAAGTTATACATGACAGTGATTTACCTTTTTAGAAGAGTTATAAGAAACAATATGCAAGCATGATCTATGGTTCATATAGCAGGCTTATGTCTAAAATGTTTACATTTATACTACAAACGATTTACTTGAGTCTAAACTTTTTCTTTACCTGTAGAAAATATATTCATAGTAAATATTTCTGAGAAATAAACTGTTTACATAATGAAAAGCACAAAAGAAATGCCAGATATGCTGGAAAATTACTTTTACATACAAATACTATTCACTTTTTTTCACTTGTGGTAAACTTGCATTTTTCTCCAAATCATTCTGAAGAACTTGAAATAACAAAATTTCAAGAATGTCCTTTTAAAACACTGCCCTGATTTAAATTTTCATGAAGGACAAGTGACTTTCTGAGCATTGATAATGGACAAACTCAGCTTGATGTCCTGGTAGCTCTATGAGTTTGGGCCCTGAGAATCTGCTTCTTCATTTTTAATAAGGAAGTAAAGGCACCTTATAGGGCTGTTATACAAACTGGTTAAAAAGTGGATTCTGGGAAGTAATGAAGTAAGAAGTGATAGATAGATCATAGGTCTATCTTTCCACCTAGATAACAATTGGACTGATAGAGCATGTCTGAATATAAGAGTTAAGGAGTTCTGGACATTACTGAAGTCTTGTAACTTTCAGGATAAGGCTTGAGGTTATTGAGGTTGAGTTGGTCGATTTCACTTCTTCATACAGTGGCATCTACCCATCCCTAAACCCTTTGGAAAGCTGCTAGTTATACATGTTTTCCAGGTGCAGCATGAAGGACACTGGAAAAAAAAATCACCCTTTTCTCCAAATACTGTAGTATTTGTGCTCTAATTGCTGCTTTTCAACCAGAGAAGAAAAAAGAGGCAGAGGACAGGGATGTAGAAAAAAGTTTCACTATTGTTGCACATCTTCCCACAAGCTCCTCCCCCTCATACTGAAGTGACTTTCAGGTGATTTAAAGGGATGGTTCCTCCCTTTCATTTTTTTCTTTCTCTCTTTTATCAGACATTATAGAACAAGACATTCAAAAACAAATGCATATATGAAGAAAACTAGAAAGGGACTATGAATGCACAAAGAAAGGCACATGCTCAGTAAAGACCTTAAATTTACCTCTTATGTTAATCCTGGGCACATCAAGAACCTACAATAACCAAAGAAACAAAAACAACAAAACTCAAGGGAATAGGGAGAATATTGTTTTTAGAGAAACTACATAATTATAGTCAACTGTTTTTAGCAACAATAATAAAAATCACAAGGAATATAAAGAAACTGGAAAGCATGGCCAAAGAGGGAAGAAGTCAAAAGAAACTTTCCCTGAAAAAAAATGACAGCAAGTCTACTCATGACAGAACTCAAATATGTTCTAAGATGTGAAGAAAGCCAAAAAATTATATATGAAAAGATGGAAATATTAAGAAAGAAACTTAGTAAGAAATTTAAAAAAGTAATTGTGGACTAAAAAGTACAATAACTGAAAAGTTCATTAGAAAGATTCAAAGGTACATTTGAGTAGGCAGAAAATAGTACACAACCTTGAAAATAGGAAATAGAAAAAACTGAAGTGAACAGAGTCTTAGAAACCTACACTGTATCATCAAGTAAACCAATATATACATTATAGGGATCTTAGAGGAGAAGAAAGAGAAAGAAGAAAAACTGAGAAAATATTTGAGAAAAATGGTTTTGGATGTTCCAGGTTAAGACACTAGTGATAAGGAGATAAAGGTGCATGGGAATGCCAGCTTGTGCAATAGAAGAAAACTGATAAAACTTCCTGTCCTAGGGGCCAAGTGAGGAAATAAAGTCAAAGGGGAATGATTGGCTGAATTGTCAAGTCAGGGCTGCCAGTGTAGCTCAGTAGTAGTGCACTTATCTATCAAAGTGAAGCCCTGCATTAAAAATAAATCAGAACTGAGTAGTAGGGTGAGATAAGTTTTAATATCTAAATGTAGAAACTGCTCTTATTGCAAGTAAAATTTAAAAAAGGAAAGGAAAATAATGTATAATGCCTTTAAATTGTGAAGGGAAGATGAGTTCAGTGTTGCAATGCAGAGATTAGACTTATCGTAAATAAAATAACAAAAAGAAAAGAAACCTAGATATATCAGTACAAATGCAGGTAGGTGGAGCATATGTGACAGTGAAAGCATATGGAAGTTCTCTTTATTATTGTTTTGGAAACTGAAAGTCATGAGGTAAGAGAAAGAAAAAAGATGGACATTTTAAGAGATGGGTATGAAAAGTCATCTAAGAGAGTGGGTAAGTGAATGAACTAAGAAAATAAAGTAGAATTCACAAGAGGAATTTAAGAACTCAATGCTAGTGGTCTTGAATTTAAACTAAAGCACTTAATATGGTTGCATCTCCAGACATGTTCAAATGTTCATGGCAGCCACAGAATTGGTAGAAAGTTATATTGCAACAAGGTTATGGTTTTATCAGATAATTTCTATTGGAAATTGGGAGAAGGGCAAGGGAGTTGAACACATACATATTCAAGAAAGAAATGATTATGATAGATCATACTATTGGTATGTATTCTACATTTGCTTTCTCCTGTCTGTTCATAAAGATACTGCTGTATGTCAGGGTCTCCTTAACACTAACCTGAACTACTGGAGCTATTTTTACTGTCTAGCCAGCTAATCTTTCCTCAAAAACACTATGCTCATTGTTTATATCTATTTTTATCTTTCCTATTTTCCCCTAATTGTTTGTCTTCAAGAACTAGACATTTCTTAAAATTTTTTATTTCACAGCCATCAATGAATCCTGCATCACTCTCAGAATTTTAATTATTTTTGTATAGAAGTGTATATAAACCTGTATTAGTGTATTTATCAAATTAAAACTATATATATCTTTCCTTATTTTCCACTATGATGTGAGATTAATAAATATCTTCTTTTGTTATCATTGAACACAGTGCCTGTATCAGAATAGACACTAAATTATTTTATTAATTGGCTACATGAATAAATGTTATCTTTCTTAAATCCCATTCAATGGCATAAAAATATTCGCAAATAGGAATATTCCTCAGTTTTCCCATTAAATACATGATAGAGAAGCCAAGTATATGATGAAAGATTTGGTATAAAACACAAAGTATTTGTGTATTTCCTTTATTATATTAACTTTTTTTCATATTTTATACACTTTGGACAATATATTAACCTACCTTGGTTATAATAATGCCATTCATTACTGGAACCTAAAAATGATATTCTGAAGACATCTGATTAACTTCTGTTAAAGAAATGTCTTTATGGGCCAGGGATTTAGCTCAGCAGCATAAGCGCCTGCCTGGCAAGCACGGTGCCAAAAAAAAGGAAATGTATTTGATTGGTATCATTTAAAACTTTCAGCACACTAAGTCTCTTTTTATTTGTGTATGTTTGCAATGCACAACAGTTGTGTTTGTCTGGGAGAAATGGTACGTATATGTAACATTCTTGATCATTTTCAATATCTTACCTCTCTCACTATCCCCCCCTTTCCCCTAATTCCTTTCTTTATTTTCAAAATATCTGCTCTGTTTCCTGTCATCTTTGCTTTCTTTCTTTCTCCTTCCTCATTTCCTTTTTCATTCTTTTCCTTCCTTTGTTCTTTTATCTTTTAGGTTTTTCAACACTAATTTTTGTAAGAATTTCATGCAAATAAAAGCTAAGTTTTAAAGTACTTACAAGTTGACTTATTATTCAAAACATTTATATTGAATGTCCCTTAATATTTCTATAACGGTATCTATAAAATTTAGGTAACATGAATGAAGGCATTCAAGAGCAGAATCTGCATTCTTGTAAGATAAGAACATATTTTCTTTAGAGAGGAATTGCTACATATTTTCTCATCTCTGTGTGGACACAGAAATGATACGTGTCATCTAATTTTGCAGTCTAGTCAGAAAGCCCAATAACCAAGTATGGGCTGGAAAGATATAGGGCCCCCAGAGCATCAATAGAAATGTTAAATTCACTCCACTGTCATTGACAATTTTCCCATAAAGCAGCTGTGTTTCTAGAAAGCTCTTTCAAAGAAAAGTCTGTAATTAAATATAAGAAAGCTTTCTTCTGTCTTGTCATACACACATATAAAATACTTTTCCAAGGGAATAAAAGGATTCAATTTCAGATAACAGAATATTTTTTGCAATGTATATACTTCTGTAGTTTTATTAGTTAAATAAGTGTTATGATTTAGATCTAGATGTTCCTCTAAAACTTCATGTAATTATAAGAAGAACATTTGTGAGATGATACTATGAGGATGCTATAGCTGACTTTCCATTAAGAGGTGGGTATGACTGGAAGAGGCTGGTCACAGAAAGAGTGATCTGGAAGGGTTATTGCCCACCCCTGTCTCTTCCCTTGACTCTCTCTGCTTCCTGTCTGCCATTAAATGAGAAGTTTTTCCTCTGCCATGCCTCCCTGTCTTGGAGCCAGATGGCTACAGAATGGACTTCTACAAACTGTGAGCCGAACCAAATCTTTCCTCCTTTCAGGTGTAGGTGTTAAGTATTTTGTTCCAGCAATAGGAAAAGTGACAAGGACAATAAGCTTCTAATAATTCAGAATGAGTATAAAATAAACAAAGGTGTCAAAATGTAAAGCGTTTAAGTAGTAAACTGATCATATGAAGAAAATTTGCATAATTCTCAAAAAAGAGAAGTTTAGGTATTATATTTACTCCTCTACTTATGTAATAAGGATAAAGATTCACATAAAAGCTTTTTTAAACAGATGAATGGATTTACCAATGTAGTAGACATCAAAGCTGAATCAAAGAGATACAAAATTGTAAATAACCTATTATCAGCCAATGAAATTGAAGATATAAACATATAAAATATATAATTAAACACCTACCAACAAAGAAAGTCCAAGTCCTGATGGATTCACTGCTGAATTCTACAAGAAATTTAGGGAAGATCTAATACTACTCCTCACACACTTAAATGAAATAGAAGGGAAGCAACACTCCAAAATCATTCCAGGAAGCACTACTCTGATACCACAACCAGAGAAAGATCCAAACAAAAAGAGAACTACGGATCAATCTCCCTAATGAACACAGATGCAAAATCCTCAGTAAGATAATGGCAAATAGTATACAACAAATCATGAAGGATGTTATACACTATTACCATGAATGCATGTTGGACTTTTTCAAATGCTTTTTATGCATCTATTGAGATGATCATGTGTTTTTTGTCCTTTGTTTTGCTTTTAAGTCATGCAGAATAGAAGAGTTGTGTGGGCAGGAAGGTTTCCACTCCGATTTCAGAAGGTAGTGTGCTCCAAGACAGCATGTGTGAAGCTGTGAGTATGAAGCCAAAAGTGCAATGCAGACCCCAGGAGCTTAGAAAAGCCAGGAATATGGATTGTCCAAGGAGCAAGAAGAGGAAGCAGAGCAGGTCCAAAAGAGAAGCCATAGGAACTACAACCACCGCAAGTACTGTGGGGTGGAGCTGCTCAAGCCCTTGGAAGTTCACATCTTCCCAGACTGCCTTGAATGCTGCACATGGAACTACAGGACTTAATGTTTTTCCTGTTGGATTTTGGACTTGGTTTGGTCTCATTCCTTTGTATCCCCACTTGTAACTTTTGAAACATCTGTACAGACATCTATCTTGTGCCACTGAATGCTAGAGGTGTTTAACTTTCTTTTCATTTGTACAGAAGCTTACAGCTAAAAGTTTGCCTTAGATCTCAGAGGAGACTTGGGACTTAAACTTTTTAGCAATGTTGAATCTGTTAGGACTTTGACAACACTTGCAAATGGACTGAAAGACTTTTGTATAAAAGAATGTACATGAGCCTTTGGGGGGGGCAGGGGCAGAATGTAATAGTTTATATCTAAATAACCCCAAACTCATGAAGTCATGGGAGTGGGCTTCTGAGCTTGTGATTGATTCATGGTCCAATGCTGGGACCACATCTGTGAGTACTACACCTGCCCTAAGGCAGCAGCCTACATACAATACAAGGAACAGAAAGAGGCTTGACTCTATGTCTCTCAGCTTTTTATCTGTCTTGTCTCTCTGTCTCTTCTTGCTTGTTGTTCTGCTCTCTTCTGCCCCCAGGAAGTGTTGCCCCTCTGCCATGTGCCATCCTGCTGATTATGGACTAAAGCCTCTATAAACTATTAGCTAAATAAATCTTTCCCCCTTTAACTTTGAGTGTCAAGTATTTTGTCTCAGCAATAAGAAAAGTAAGACATTGCTCTTCTTCAAAGTCAAAATGACCATGAAAGGTAAATATTTTTAATCAATTCAGGACATTCAGCAATCACAACAGTACAACTAAAGATGTTCATAAAAGAGAATTTCTAGAACTGCTTCAGAAGTGGCAAGATTGATGAGATAAATGTTTTGAAGGTAGGGATAGTATATGGAGGGGGATTAATGACAAAATGTCTATTATTGTAATACTGGAATTAACAATGAGCACCAAAACACTTTTTAGGTTATAAAAACACAATTGTGAAATGATCAAATAGAGTAGAATGATATAAATAAAATTATGCAATGTATGACATAGTGTTTTTAACCCACATATCAAATGTCTAGGACCTTGTTGTATGTGTTTGCATTGGGGAGTATGGGTTGGTTACATATAGTAAATGGTACTTAGATAAGAGTTCAAAAAAAAAATAGAAGTTTACTGGGTGAAGTGAGGAGGATAATGGTCTGTCATATGAAAGAAACTACAGATCTTAGGGCCCTCAGATGGAAAGAAATATAGTGAATGTGAAGACTAGTACAGCGATTAGAAAAGCATAAAAAGTGAATAATGAAGTTGAGAGATGGGGCAGGTCCTACATAGTTTTGTGGCCTTTTTTAAGAGGTTCTTATGGTGTTTTATCTTCTCTTCTAAACATCTGTACACAGCCAACATCATTATCAAACAAAAACCTGCTCATCCAAACAGTTGGTACTGATTTATATTTAATCAAAGCAGAAATTGCTATATAATATATCTGGATACTTCATGAAATTTTTATTGACATTCGCTTGAAATCTAATTATTAATCTATATGTACAATTTTTTTTATATGTACAATTTTTAAACATCATCTAGGGAATGCTGTATAAAGTATATACTTTCTATTTATGATAAATGATTTCATTTTAGATATGAAAAAGACCTAGGTAGGATCTGTATGTCTACCATATTTGTACCTAAAATGATCAAATAGTAATGATAATACTCCTAATTTATTTCAAGACATTTAATTGTAGATTTGGTATTTTAATAGAAACTATCATGTAAAATGCTTTCTATTTATGATAAATGATTTCATTTTAGATATGAAAAAGACCTAGGTAGGATCTGTATGTCTACCATATTTGTACCTAAAATGATCAAATAGTAATGATAATACTCCTAATTTATTTCAAGACATTTAATTATAGATTTGGTATTTTAATAGAAACTATATGTAAAATGCTTTCATGATATTTTAATAGAAACTATCATGTAAAATGAATTTGATATCCAATTTAAGAATCTGTCCTAACAACAAAAGTAGGAATCTTATCTGCTAATATCTCCTTTATGTACCTAAAAGGAATTATTCAAAAGTTTATATGGGAACTTTTATTCCATTACCCAATCCTGCAATGAGAATCCCATACCTTACCATATCTTGCAGAAAAGTTAATCTGATAAGCATGGCTTGAATTTCACAAAGATTTAGTTAACAATAGAGAAATCTTCCAAAGCATAATGATTTAGACAACTAAACAATTATATATTTTAATTTTCAAACTTACCTGATATAAATAATCTTCAAATACAAAATAGTAATCATCATTGCTTGCTGTCAACTTCACATCCTATAATTAAAATTAAAGTATACTGAAAAAAGCCCAAATGAATCTTTCTATAGTCCTATAGAACATGTGTAATATTTGGAAACAATACTGCAATGAATTGAGTACTTTATGTAAGATTACAAAAACTTCCCAATTAGATTTTATCAGTGCTATGTATTTATTTAATATGTGACATATTATTTGATCTCAAATTTCTTATACTTTTAAAGGATTCACTAATAACTATTTATTTCAATTCTATCTTTTAAACCTAATCATTAGATGTCTTATGGCTTGAAAAGAAAAGTGATACAAACCTAACACCCAAAAGTAACCATAACAGTCTGGCTCACTTTCACTGTTCAAGAACACATACTTCCTATTCCTTCAAAATATCAAATGTCTCCCATTTTTTAATGATTACTCACTTGCAAGTTACTGCTAGTTACTGGGAGACTAGTAACATTGATTTTCTGACTCATGACCTCATCTGTTAAAAGCTAGTCCATTGAAATCTCATAGATTATTAGCTCTTTCCTTTAAATATAACTATCTTCATTTCCTGACCTGAAAGTATGTTAAAAAATTTTTACTCTCTCTATGAAGTTTTAGGCTGTTTGAGAAATACTCTCTTAACAAAAATATAGGAGGGCCAGGAAAGCAGTATGAGGTAGTTTCACAGGAAAAGAAGATATAGTAAATGCAACCTATGCATTTTGAAGGCCAATCTTAACTTTATAATGATCACTTAATATTATTTTTCAAGTTTAATATATATTACTGTGCATAGTACAGGCCCTGCATATTGAAAACTAAATTTTAAGTGATAGTAATCAAGTGAAAAAATATGCATAATTCTACTTACTTTATAAATTAGACTGTCCACCAAAAGGTCATGTTGTATCACATTGGTCTTAAGCTGCTCATAATACAAGATATCCTAAATTTAAAAGTAAAACAAAAACTTAAAGATCAATAATGTTTATAAAGTCAGCCTCAACTTCAATAAGCAATAATCATTAATGTTATTATAAACAATAAGAGGGTAAGATCTCTGTTTTGTTCATTACTATATCCCTATGGCTTACCAGTATTAGATGTTCAATAAATATTCGTGTTCCTATCATTTAAGATAACATATGGTACATGGTAGGTATTCAATCAATATTTGTTAAAGTGATTATAGTTTAACTTAATAAAAAATACAGTATTTTTGAAATAGCTACCAAGTGCTAGGTATTATTTTAACTACTTACACATGAATGAATTCACTTCCTTCAGTACCAACAAAATGAACCAGATCACTGATTACTACTTATCCTAACATTTGAGAAGGTAAACTAAGATCCAGAGAGAAAACTAACATCATGCCTAAGGCCATCAGGCTAGTAAATTTCATTCCAAAAAACCTGGCCTCAGAGCTTATAGAAACATCTAGGAAGATTATACTGCTTTTCTAATAACTAAAATTCTCTTAAAATAATAAGTTTAAGCATAATAATCACCCTGGTGTTAAACACAGTCATATGGCACTGTACATCTGTTATATCATAGATCAACAATTGACATCTACAGAGCATTTCATCCAACAACAGCAGAATAAATATCCTTTTCAGCAGCTCATGAAAGTTTCTCCAAAACAGAGGATTCTGAGGCCATAAGAAAAGAATTTAGGCATCTTGAATTTGAAGTATTTGTAAGAAATAAAAGTGATTAATCCATGAAGCAACTTCATCTGAACTTCAAGAAAGAGATCTGAGCTGGGAATTATAGCTCAGTGGCATAAGCGCCTGCCTGGCAGGCACAAGATCTTCAGTTTGATTCCTGGTACAGATATCTATCTATCTATCTATCTATCTATCTATCTATCTATCTATCTATAGAGAGAAAGAGACCTGACATCATCTATTGATTTTAGGTAACTGGTAAATGAAGCTATGGGAGTTTGAGATTTATCCTCAGTACTGGAAAACAAAACAAAACAAAAAAAGATAAAAGAGAAAGAAAAGAAAAGATATATGGGGATGAAATGTGAAATACTGTTTATGTCTCTACCTTCTCAATTACATTGAAGTTTAAGTGATTAAAAATAAATTGAGCAAAATTTCTGTTCAAGCATTCATGACAAAAATATTCTTTCTTCTGAATGTATGACTATAACAATTGTTTGGGAATAATCCACTGAGATTGGAATAATTCACTCAGATACACTTCACTGAGATAATTTTAGAGATTATTTAGAGATAATTTAGAAATTAAAACTGGTAGGTTTTTAATCAATAAAATTAACATTATTTTTCTGAAAATCATAATTTCTATTCACTAATATTAAACAGACTTGTCACTTTACATTTTAAGAATCCAGGTGACAGTTTGTTCTAAAATACAGGTATAAAAACCACTTTTAAGCATTGTAAAGTGTTGATATTTTTAGGAACATCCTCAATTTTTTCTTAAAAAGGGAGTATTTACTTTTCAGAGACAGAATTTGTCAACCTAACTTCTGAACAGTGAAGTTGTCAGGTTACAGACAGTAATATCCAGAAGAGTTATATTTTCTACAAGATGACACACACACACACACACACACACACACACACACACACACACACACACACAAGCTCCATTTATGTTAAAATTTATTTTGGTAAAGGTCACCTCTAAACGGTACTGAAAAGATTAGCAATATCATTTTGTCTAAAACTGCACTGAAATCACAAGTTTTATTCTTTCAAAAAGAAAGTGATTTTTTACAGTATTGTTTACAGGGAGATTTAAAATATACACATGTGTAAAGGTAATTTGCAATGGTGAGATTGCAGTTTTTATTATTGATATTAATAATGTTTGATATTCTTAAAACCTGCATTATTAATTATAATTAATTTATAACACAATTATATGTAACACGTAATTATGAATAACATTAGTGGTACCCATTTATGTGCCAAGTACTATGTTAAAAGAGTCTCAGAAATAACTGTTTATATTCATCATAATAACTTGGTGATATAAATATTACCATGTATATACAGATTAACAGGTTTGAAGAAATTTAAGCCATTTGCTCAATGATATATTTTTAGTAAGTTGAGAGAGTTAGGAATTAAAACCAGATTTATATCATTCTAAAATTCATATTTTTAATCATAGGCTGGGGAGCTAGTGTGGTATCCATTAAAATTTTAAATAGATAACTTCTAGGACTAATGAGTTTATACTATATTTATACATACTCTAAAATGAATATTTCAGGCAGAATCAACTTGTCTTTATTAAATAATTAGTCTTTATTAAATCCATTACTTGCCTGTTAGAGATTTTCACTTCATATTTATTACATTTTCTAAGATTAAATATTCTTATGCTCAGAAAATAGTATTTTTATGCAGTCTGTCAAATTTTAGAACCACACAATTATTGTCTATTCCAAAGGCAACTGTAAGAACAATGAACTCATTTACTTTACAGACTTGCCCTTTCTATTCTAACATTCTAATTCCGTCACACATGTTCACTAATTTAAATAATCAACTCCTCAAAATTTTACTCATTGTTTTGTTGTATGTGTATATAGGATCACACTACCTGATTAAATATGAATAACAAAAACTTCTACATTGAATGTGCTGTTTAAATTATGCGTTAAATTGTAGAACTCAAAAATTACAGTTATTTGGAAAATAAAAAGAGGAATAAATAGTGAACTAAGAAAAGTTTTTCTATTTTTAATAATTGATCTTTGAAAAATAAGCACTAATAGCCCACCTTTGACTCATTCTTTTTCTTACCTCTGGTTGACTGGAAATATTTAAAATGAGGGCCCACAGTTCAGCTCGCAGAGCTGTGGGACTTCCTTGTCTGATATACTGTTGAGCAGCAGCACTGTCTTGTTCTGCTAGAACTGTTAAAAGTACATTAAGATCGCATGAGCAAATTCACAGTGTAGGAAATTCACTGCAATCGTCAGGGTAAATTTTTTGGGAGGCCCACATTTAGTCTGACATAATTACATCCTACCGTTACTGGATTTTGATACGGTTCTATTAGACAGTCCATGTTTCAAGCCTTAAATTTTTCGAGGTGCTAGCCAACTTGTTAAACATTTTGTGGTTATTTGGTTTTTTGTTTGTTTGCTTATTGGGGATAAAACCCAGGGCCTCCTCAGCCCTTTATATTTTCATTTTGAATTTTGAGACAGGGTCTTTCAACATTACAAATCTTCCTTCCTTAGTCTCCTGAATAGCTGAGGTCACAGGCATGAGTTATTATCACATCCAGGTAAGCTTTTAAAACATACAATTAATATATGTTTGCCAATTAGAGTCATCTTGGGAATTGGTATATATCCATATCACAACTTATTTTTTAGTTATTTTTATTTTTTAGTTAGTTTTATTTATTTAGTTATTTTTACTTCCCCTTTGTGGAGTACCTTGAGATCACTTTGCTTTAACTATAGCTTCATGAATCTGAAATTACTAGGCTATGGAGTATTTTTGGACTCTACAATCAAGTTGTCATATCTACAGAATATTTAAAATTCTTACATTTTCTACTAAATCATGTGAATGTATCTAGTATTGAAAGTACAATGGGATGTGAGCATCAAAACTAATTTATAATAGATAAAAATAAAAGATCTCTATTCCAATGGAAGACTACTTTGCTATCTGAAAAAAAATCAACACAAATAAATTTTTAATGCAGTGAAAATAAAGATCTGATAAACTTTTAAAGGCTTCAAAATTATTTGAAGCAGTCAAGTTCATAAAACTAATATATTTTTGCTTTCATTTTCATTTTTAATTTCTTTTTGAAAATATCAGCTAGTCAGTCTGGAAATAAAGGTCCAAAAAATAAAACAGAAGACAGAAGACTAGACAACTGCTGGTGTTTCTCTAATAGTATTATATTCTTCTGTTTCCTCTGAAAAGGGAAAAGGATCTTACACTAAATAAATATGGCATTGCTAGAACAAATAAAAGGATCACGTAAAACAGAGATGAGACACATCCTTTAATTTGCACCTGTGTCTAATGAAAGTGTCAAATCCTACAAACGATATCTTTTTAATAGATAAAATTTTGAAAAGTTGTACTAGGGAGATTGGTACACAATAATATAATTGTCACAGAAAGTTCACTGTGACCGAAAGACATATCAGCACTTCATAGTTCAAAAACAAAATAGCATCTATTTAAAAAAGAGAGAAAGTGCAAAGGAATCTTCAAAAGGTGGGGAAAAGTATTTCCCAAGGTATAGAGAGCTGCATCAGTTATTAATTCCCAACATCATGAACAGTCAGTATGAACTGTTAGTTACAGTCTCTCCTGAAGCAGAAATGTATCTCATTAATACCAGTGAGAAGTGTGTGGGTACGTCAAGGGGAAAACCTGCCTCTCTGATTATAAAATGGAATTCTACTGTATTTCCTTTTCAGGAAACCAGCTGTGTATAAGTTTATCCAATATTCCCTGATAAAAGTACAAGGAGGCATATTCCCCCTAAATAACGATTCTCCTACAATATCTACCTAATTCAATAGTACTCCTTTTTAGTTTTTTCACATATTAATTTTCAGTTGCTCTATAATTTTATAGAGACACATACATAGAACTGTTGGATTTTTCAGATATAATAAGTATAATAAAAATTTACCTTTTTGTCCAATACGCACATGCTCATTTTCAAAAAGTTCTAAAAATATTGAAAGAAAATAAAGTTATTAGGTACAAATATAATCAGTTACAATTAGAACTAAAGGTAATTTTTTGTTCGGACACTGATACTTTTAATTACTTTTAAAGTTGCATGGCTCTATAGAACACTGTAAGAATATTTATCCTATACGTAGAAAAATCTTTTATCTAAGTTGCTTCAGAGTAATTTCAAACCAAGTGGTCCACAAATCTGTAATTTCAGCACATTACCTGCTCCCTGCCTCGAAAGGCTGAGATAGGAAGAAAATTCAGTCAAAGGGCAGTCTGGGCTACCCAGCAAATTTGCAGCTAGCCCTGACTATACTGTGAAACTCTTATCTCAAAAGAAAATTTAAGAAAAATAAGACTTCATACATTTAATTGTAGGAAAAAAATAAATGGTGTTTTCTTTGTTAAGTATCTTTTCATAACTCAAAAATATTTCTACATATTCACCTTTTTTTATTTAAAGAGAAAAAAAAACAGGAAAAAAAGGGTAGAAATAATACAGCATTACAGAAAAATAAACAGTAAGAAATCACTAGTTGATAAGTTCCATATTGTCATCTTAGAAATAGTTGTTCAGGTTATAAAATTAAAGCACACAAAGTGACATTCAGATAGTGACACTGCCAACAGTTCTGCTCAATGATCCAACAAAACTTAGTAATATGGTTATCAGTCCTACACACTTGTGTTTTATCTTAAAGAGGATAAGATTAAACATATCAAAACAGAACAAAACAGTTCATAAAGAAACAATTTAGGGGCTGGAGATTTAGCTCAGCGGCATAAGCGCCTGCCTTGCAAGCAGGCAGTCGTGAGTTCGATCCCTGGTACTGATGAAAAAGACACACACACACACACACACACACACACACACACACACACATACACACACACACACAAAGAAACAATTTAAAGAAATACAGATTTCAAAGCAAGTCCACTGGAGATCTTCACTGTGTATCTCATTGTCTGTAGTTTTCTTCCAAACAGTTGTCCCCATCTTCACACACATTGAATACATACTGCATGTTATAGAACTAATCAAATCATTACAGGATGGTAAAGGCTTTTAGGTCTTCAAGACCTGACATTGGGGAAGACAATAATGACTACCATGTCTCTCATTCTCTTCATAGTAGCTGTCCTTAGCTTTACATATACTGAAACTGAACTTAAGAGACCTAGACTAATATCACTTTGAACAGTGAATAATAGTATTGCTAGATTTTATATCATATTTTATATCATAATGTTATAGAATTAACATTGGGTTTCTTAGTGTCTCTTCTTCTTCAGAGTATCTGTTCATTACATCGTGCATTATATAATCTGTTCCCGTAAGTACTTTAAAAAATTCTTCCCATGTGTGAATTTCTACATGTATATCTATCCTCTCTGTATTATAGGGAAAATCAGATCATAACAAGACAACAAAACAAATTCCTAGAAAGACCACAATATTAGGTGATCTACTGTAGTTACTATGCTTTCTTCTGTTATTTTCAATAGACTTGTCCACATCATCAGGCTTAATATATTAAGTATAGTATTACATAGCTATTTTTATAAAAATACAACTTTGAAGACATTGTAGGACTTGAAAGTAGTTAATAATCAAAACCGGTATGGATATCTTTTACATCTTGTCATCTTCAGAGTAGCTGCCTCTATTCCCAGACCTGATACTATCAAACATACCAAATTCGAATAAAATCAGCCAAGGCAAAAACCACGGTCTAACAAACCAGATTCAAATAAGATCAGTTATAGTAAGACAATGTAAGTAATACAGGGCTTCAGTTCAAGTTAATAGGAAATTAAGGATAGGTACTGTGGTATAACCTGCTATTTTTGGGTTAGATGTCTGTGCCCTCAAATCTGATATGAGTGGACAGACCAGAACAAAATAAAATCAAACCAAACAAGAGCAATAAGACTACTGTGACTTTTAAATCCTGATACACTATTAACAATGACCTCTGCCTTCCTTTTTTAGGCTATTTTTTACCTTTCCCCTTCTGAGGATGCTATGTATGTTTTGGGTCCCACTAGCCTCTTCAGCTTTTAGATTAGGGGGCCAGCCTATTGTCTATCTGAGTGTTTCTGAACCTTTTTACCCCTGAGCTTGATCTTGAGCTGTACTCCTTTATTTACTAAAGTCATAGGGTTTTCCTTCCTTCCAGCTGTGTAGTTCTACACTGCCCAAAAGTGTCACAGCTTTCCAATCTATCTGCGGCTTCTGGATGAGTTGTCACTATTTCTCTCTGGTTTCTGTCACATATAGCATTGCTTTCTCATCTTTGACTTTTAGTTCATTTACCCTCTTTCAGGCTGAGTGTATTTCCTATTCATAGCATCTCAATGGAACCTGCCTCCTAATCTACTCTGCCTGTTTTTTTCTTTTAATTTTAGTGTATCAAGGCTATCTATATTAAAGATTATAGCTTAAAGATCTCTGCCTCATGTCTGCTATTCTATTTTTCTGCTATAATTTGTCCACTTTCCTGCATTTCACTGTCTGCCTTGTTCATTGAGGCCTCTCTGCCACTGTTGCTGGAATCCTGGTATTTTTTTCCTCTCTCTCTGGAATGTTCTTCAGCATTTTTTGTAGGGTTGGATCAGTGGCCATGAACTCCCACAGTTCCTCCTTGTCTTGGAAATATCTTATTTCTCCATTAATTTTGAGAGAGAGTTTTTCTGGGTATATCAGTCTTGGTTGCAGATTATTTTCTTTTAGGGCTTGGACCATTTTCCCCCAGGATCTTCTTCATTTGAAAGTTTGCGTTGATAAGTCTGTCATTATTTTGGTAATTTTTCCATTGTAGGTAATCTGCTTCTTTTTCCTGACTGCTTTTAGTATTCTGTTCTTTTGGTGGATTTCTGAAATCTTGATTATTATATGTCTGGGTGTAGATCTGTTTTGGTTATAGGTGGCTGGAGTTCTGTATGCCTCATTTATCTAGATATCATTTCTTTTTCCTACGTTTGGGAAGTTTTCCTTTATTATATCTGTGAATAGTCTTTGTAGTTCATTTTTGGTTACTCCTGCTTCTTTGCTCAAATGTTTTATTCTTAAGTTACATTTTTTTTTTTTTGTCATCTTCTAGCCTTTGAATTGTTTCTTTCTGGTTTCTCATTATTTTTAAGAGATCTTTTCTTTCACGATCATATATGATAAATCTCTCTTCAAGTTTCAAAAGGCTAACTTTAGTTTCTGTCAAGGCATTTTGCCAGTTTTCAATGGAGTTTTTAGCTTCCTGGTAATCTCTTTGGGTCTGTTTCATGTATTCTAGGTTGTGTTTAAATTCTTCATCAAAGGTTTCTCTTTCTTTTCTGAATTCTTTTGTTCTTCCATCTGTGTTCTCCTGGGAGGACCTTATCATTTCTTTAATTAATCTTTTTATATCTTGCCTGACTTGGATCAGAAGTACAGTTTTAAATTCATCTATGAGGTCATGAAGGTATTTCTTTATGTCTGCTGATGCTGTGTCTAGTATTAGATGGTTACTGCACTGGTTCTCTTCTGTATTTACTTCTCCTGGGCTTATTTTCCCAGGTTCAGCAGCTGGAGATTTTTTAAAAATTTCTATCTCTTGTCATGTTTCTGGTTTCTTTCAGACTGATGTGTCCTGGGGGTCTCTGGGCCTCTCTGTATTGCTCAGGGTCTTTCTGAAGCATGCTGACTGGGGTTTTGCTGCCCTCCCCAATTTGCTGAGGTACACGCAGGGATGCAGGGATGATGCAGGCTAGTCTCAAGCCTCTGAGCCAGTCAATCCACAAGTTAGGCTGTATCTTGTGGATGTCACAAAGTTGTGAAAATTTTGTACCTGCTTATTGGGTCCCAACCAGAGGCGTAGCTCAGCCCCAGCAGATCCCACCAGTTCTCTCTGCACAAGGGGCGGCTCACTGACGTCACCGTGGTGCCGGGCTCTAAATTCCAGGATGTCCTCCACCAGTTCTCTGTGTGACAGGTGCAGCCAACTGATGCTGCCACAGTGCCAGGCTCTGCCCAGCTCCAAGATGTCCTCCAGCCAGAGATAGCAGCTGCGGGACCCAATCCCTAGCACTCACCAGGAATCAATGCAGTTCTTCCTCTTGGGTCCACTCCACACTGTGCCACATGCCTTCACTGCGCTCCCATCACAGCATGGATCGGTCAGAAAACTGCATGGTGTCCGGCTTCAGCTCCCAGGTGTATGGGCCTCTCGCGCTCTCCTCCAGTGAGGCCAGGTGGCTCTGGCTGCTTCGCAGGGCCCCAGGACCCAATCTCCAGCACTCACTGAGAGCCAACAAAGCTCTTCTCCTTGGATCCACTGCTCACTGTGCCACATCCTTCTGTTAAGGGCCGGGGTTTGCCAACTCCCATTATCGGCAGCTGCGGTGTCACCGCAACTTTGGATCATCCGGGTGCACCTAGCACAGTGTGGAACGGGTCTCAGTGAGCACGTCGGGTTTCAGTTCTCCACCTGCACTTTTCCTTCCTCTTCCTAGTTTTATTTTTCCCTTTGGTTACCACCTTGGTTAATAAGAATTGTTATCCAATCGTCTGGCCCTCTCCATGTTGTCAAATTCTAGCATCTGATCTGACTTCTCTGCGGAGGCTCCCCATTCAGCCCCCTAGCAAGCCGCCATTTTTTTCTCTCCTCACCTTTTATTCTTAACAATGCAACACTTGTGGACAATATAATTTATAAAGTCTTCAATCTGCCATTAAAGTATATTTAATCATAGCATATCTTTTATAAGTAAAACTCTACTGTACAAATGCCACTTTAAAAATATTTCATAGGAAGGATTACTTGTTTTTTTTTAAATTTTATTTAAAAGGAAAAAGAAAAAACAAAACAGTGTAAGGGTACAAGTAATACAGAACTACCAAAAAAAAAAAAAAAAAACAAAACAAACAAACAAAAAAAAACCCCAGTAAGAAATCACCAGTTAATAGATTACACATTATCATCTTAGAGATAGTTACTCAAGTCACAGGAT